GACACCATTCCTGTGGGTCTCCTTGAGCTTGGAAGCTCTGGGCTGAAAAGTTCGGCTAGGGATCATTCCCCTTACATTCACCATCATTTAGAGTGGCCTCGCAGTGAAATTGTATATTTCACCCAGAAAAATGAACATCCTGCTGTCATCTGATGAATCCTTTCGCTTCATTTCTTCGCCCCTCATCACCACCCCGGACTGAAAAATCGGAGTGTCATTGGCACCGATCTTGCTCTTTTCGAAGCCAACCTGGAAGCTGTTGCCGACACCAAGGAGTCAAAATACCCTGATGAACACGAAAAATAGCTGGTGACCGGATGCTACAACGCCCCAGATATGGTATTGTAGATTTTTCACCCTTCTGCAAGATTGATTAGTATCAAGAAGGGACCCACAACAAGAAGATATCGGCAAAGAAATGCCATAAATAATCACGAATGAAGGTTTCGGCAAACTATGATGAGTGTTTCAGCAGAAACAATCTGGTTTGTGGTTTTGAGATACCCATCCTCAGAAAATACGTGAAATGAGGTTCAAATTCTAGGTAGGAATGGAAAAGATGAACAAGTAATGAGTAGAGTACCCTAGAAAAGGATAAGTATTTATACGTTACCATTGTTTCGCTTGGATTTGACTTTTCTGCATCTTTTCGCTAACCAAGAATCGGAAACAGGATGAAACAGGTCAGAATTCATGGAGTCCGATTCCCCATCCCCAAAGCCCCAGTTAACCACTGAAAAAAACTAGACGACGGATGGCCCGAGAGCGCAGAGGAGCATAGTGAGAGGTGGGCCCGTATGAAGATCTTATAGCATGAAACATAAATATAGAAATATACGATGATGCCGAAAATGAAGAGACATGGTGCAGACATGTTGTGAAAAGTAGGTACATAAAAAGAAGGAGAATTACTTTACTTCGTGTGATCCCCACCATGACATTTATACATTTTCTTACTGGCAAATCTTCTGGCATTCTATCTGACATATCTTCTGACATTCTATTTGACATTCTATCTGGCATATCTTCTGGCATATGATCTGGCATATCTTCTGGCATATCTTCTGGCATTCTATCTAGCAAATCTTCTGGCATTCTATCTGGCATATCTTCTGGCACTCTATCTGACATATCTTCTGGCATTCTATCTGGCATATCTTCTGGCATATACTCTGACATATCTTCTGGCATTCTATCTGACATATCTTCTGGCATATATTCTGACATATCTTCTGGCATATCTTCTGGCATATCTTCTGGCATATCTATCTGGCATATCTTCTGGCATATTTTCTGGCATTCTATCTGGCAAATCTTCTGGCATTCTATCTGGCATTCTATCTGGCATATCTTCTGGCATATTATCTGGCATTCTTTCTGGCATATCTTCTGGCATATATTCTGACATATCTTCTGGCATTCTATCTGGCATTCTATTTGGCATTCTATCTGGCATATCTTCTGGCATATCTTCTGACATTCTTTCTGACATTCTTTCTAACTTTCTTCTGCACATTCTTTGTCCCATATCTTCCCACATGAGGTCCGGCAGGGAACACTTGGCGTGGATACTCGCGGTTGAGGTCCGGCAGGGAACACTGGGCGTGGATGGTCATGGTTGAGGTCCGGCAGGGAACACTGGGCGGGGATGGTCGTGGTTGAGGTCCGGCAGGGAACACTGGGCGTGGATACTCGCGGTTGAGGTCCGGCAGGGAACACTGGGCGTGGATGGTCGTGGTTGAGGTCTGTCAGGGAACACTGGGCGTGGATGGTCGTGGTTGAGGTCCGGCAGGTGTGGATCGCGGGTCGCAGTTGGACGAGGAGGACGACGAGGAGGACGACGAGGAGGACGACGAGGAGGACGACGAGGAGGAGGAGAGGAGAAGAGGAGAGGAGGAGCAGGCAACTGACATAAAATCTAACAACCCTCACCTGGCAGGTGGGGAAATAAAAGAAAGATGAAACGAAGGAGACACAGGAAGAAGAATTGAGACGAACATTTTCACATACAAGCATGCTCATACATACAAACATGCCTTACACACAACTGTGCTTTTACACAAGACTGTATCACACACATACGCTTTTACATACAGACGTTATACACACAAACACTTTTACACACACACAGATGCTTTTACAAACAATTTCGCCCACGATCCATTTTATACGCCGATGCTTTTAAACACAGACACTTTTGCACACACATGCCACGTTTAAACGCAATCCCTTTTACACACAAACGCTTTCACACACAAACGCTTTTATGCACAGACCCTTTTACGCACAAGCACTTTTACACAAACGCTTTTACACAGAGACCCTTTTACACACAACCCACTTTCACACACAGACACTTTTACACACACACGTTTTTACACACAGACGCTTTGACACACAGACCCTTTTACACACAAACACTTTTAAACGCAGACGCTTTTACACACAAATGCTTTTACACAGACACTTTTACATGCAGACCCTTTACCACGCAAACACTTTTACACACAGACGCTTTTACACACAGAAGCTTTAAACGCAGACGCTTTTACGCACAAACACTTTTACACACAAGCACTTGTACACGCAGACCCTTTACCAGGACCAACCAATCTGGCAATAAACCCTCAGGATTGGACACTCAAACATCATTTCGTGCGAAAGGGTTGCCGCCGGACAAACCAAACTCACAATAAATCCTCAGTTTTTGACACTCGAACCTCATTTCGTGCGAAAGGGTGGCCATATCGTGGCGCCTCGTCGGCACTGCCTGCGGCCTTAAGAGAGAAAAGAAAAAGAAGGAGAGAGACCGTGACAGAGGGCAAGAGAGAGAGAGAGAGAGAGACAGAGACAGAGAGAGAGAGAGAGAAGATATTAAGATATGAAGATATGAAGATGTGAAGATGAGAAGGTGTGAAGATGTGAAGATGAGAAGATGTGAAGATGTGAAGATGTGAAGATGTGAAGATGTTTGTATGTGAAGGCAAGAAGATGTGAAGATTTGAAGATGTGAAGATGAGAAGATGTGAGTATGTGAACATGTGAACATGTGAAGATGTATAGCAGACCTCCACTTTTAGAAGAACCCTTTGCTCAGATGCTCTCGGGCAAAAAACCAGGGGGAAACAACATCCTCTTCTTTTCCAGCCTTCAAAGAACTCTCATAATCTCCGACCAATTCCATTTCTGGCAGATCTATCGAAACTGTCCCGACTATCGCTGGCTACAGCTCCCACTGTTGTTGTCTACATTATGGTGTTTGAACCTGTGGTTGTTGTTCATATCAGTCCCAAATCTTCGGGTGGATTGGAACATATCACGTATGTATATATTGTTGATGTATATATATATATATGTATGTATATATATGTACACATATATTGCATGTACGTACAGAAAAAGTATATAAATAAATACATGACTGGTTCATACTGTACATGATGTACAGTGCAAGTTGTCTAATCAATGTATAGATGTGTATATACATATATACGTATATGTTGCATACATCCAAATAGATGTATGTATATATATATATATATTATGCATGGATATGCACATACTACATACATGTATGTACATATAAAATATGATAAATATATATATATATATGATATATCCAACCATGCAAAAACATGTATCCGACCTATCCTTTCCCAATCTCCAAGGAGCCGTTGTGAAGAGGTCTGGGGTCGTCATGGCCGTGCGGCCCCGCGCGGCCCCGCGGCCCGGTTTGAGCAGCTCATCAAGGTGCGCGTTGATTTTTTCCGACGTGATGGCCGGGTGATGCCTTCAATGGTAATGATGAGGATCTTTAATTTCCATTGCATGATTAGTATATGATGATAAAGAATCTCATTCTTTAGTCACGGTAATGATCATTAATAATCACTAATGCCTTCTTTAATGATGATATGGCTTAGTAAATGATGATCATTAATGGTAAATGATAATGATGGTAAATGATAAGGGTAATTAAATGATTAATAGTGAATGATGATCTTTAATAGTTATAGTAACTTAGTGAATGATGATCATTAATGGTTGTGAATGGGATTGTACATTCTATGAATGGGGTTAATTCAGTACTTATAACTGGTATTTGGGGCCATTTACCCTCTGGTAAACATACCAAAAACTATGGAAAATCACCATTTTGAATGAGTCAATCAACTATAAATAGCCATGTTCGATAGTTATAATATGTTATAGTATGTTATAATCATTGATAATGTGTGACTGAATTGAATGTTTCTTTATGATTTAAAACATGTGTGGGGTACTTGTAATGGTGATTGTGGATATTTATGACTGTATAGACTATAGTTTATGTCTATAATTAAGAGACAGGACCCTTAGTGAGAACTACCCCATAGTTATCCAGACTTCTCTTATGATATGGGGTGAAGATATGGGTGTTGATCTTCTAGAAAATTGAGATAGACCGTCAAGAATAGCCGATGTTTAGTTTGGTGGATGGTAGTGGATATTAAATATATTAATGTTTCATGGATTGATCATTGTCAATCATGATTACTGTAATGGATTTTTATAGGAAAAAATAGGGATTTCCGAAAAAATGGAAGCCAAAAACATCAAAGTGATTGGCTTTTTTTAGGAATCCCGGATGGTTGCCGGGCTCCAATCTTGTCCCAAATCAAGCGATACTGGGTTTATGATAACATTATTCTAATAGAATGATTACTGGGATTATCATGGTTCATGATAGACTCAACTCATCCCAAGTTCTTTTGGTCATGCTTCATGCTTATGATCCACAGGACCTCATTACACTAAAAATAGATCTTCATAAACAGAAATAGTGATACAAGTGACACTGTTCAGTTCAAGGGGAGAATGACCAACAAAATTCAAACTTGAAACATCTTAAACCTGGCCACTGGCTGGCATTTCTTCGAATTAGCGACATGACCTCCAAACACTCCACTCCCCGAGCCAGCTCAGCCCCAAATCCACCCAAATACGGCCCCCAGCAGTTC